ACTGCTTGCCCCGCTGGGCCCAGAATATGAATTCTGTGCCTGTCCCAAAAATGTCATCACATATTATCTACAAACTCATCTCTGCGGTAAGGAGTCCACAGCAGGAGTCAAGACAGCAAGTCCCCAGTGTTTCCACAGGGCCCCCTCCCTGGTAACACTACTGAGGCCCAAAGCCACAGGGTAGCGAGGGTGTCCCTGTTTCTCCTTTCAACAGTGACCTTCCTGTCATTCCTAAGCCTCCATTCCCACAGAGCCACCTCAGGTAGGCAGCCCATCCCACCTCCTCTATGACTTTTTTTTTAATATAAAAAGGAACAAATTTTTTATTAAAGTATCATTTATATACACTTTATGACTTTTTTAATAGGTACAAGGAAAAAGACAAAAAAAGAAAATGGTTTTACCCTTGTGATGAGAGCTTTTAGGATTACCTTTCTAAGCACCTTACAAATACGCCACACATGTTAACTATAGTCACCACACCCTACCTGACACCTCCAGGACTTACTTATCTTACACTGGAAGTTGGTGCCTTTTGACCCCCTTCCTCTAATTCCCCCACCTTCCTCTGATAACCACGATCTGATTTCTTTTCCAATGAGATTGGTTTTATGGTTTAGGTTTTGCCAAGGTTTAGATGGCACATATAGGTCTTCTTCTCCATCTGATTCTTCTCCACCTGGTTGTTTCACTCAGCATAATGCCCTCAGGTCCACCCATGTTCTTGCAAATGCATTGTGATTTTTAAAGTTGCAAAAATCCACTTAAAATAAACACTGAGCTACAATTGCATCAAATAAAAAAGAACAAAATACCTAGGAATAAACTTAACCAAGGAGATGAAAGACCTTTACTCTGAAAACTACAAGACACTCATGAGAGAAATTAAGAAGACATCAATAAATGGAAATCTATCCCATGCTCATGGATAGGAAGAACTAATATTGTCAACATGGCCATCCTGCCCAAAGCAATCTATAGATTCAGTGAAATCCCTATCAAAATACCAAAAGCATTCTTCAATGAAACAGAACAAATTGTTCTAAAATTCATATGGAACCACAAAAGACCCTGAACAGCTAAAGCAATCCTGAGAAGGAAGAAGAAAGCTGGGGGGATTATGCTCCCCAACTTCAAGGTCTATTACAAAGCCACAGTAATCAAAGCAATTTGGCACTGGTACAAGAACAGATCCATAGATCAATGGAACAGAATAGAGAGCCCAGATATAAACCCAAGTATATATGGCCAATTAATATACAATAAAGGAGCCATGGATGTACAATGGGGAAATGACAGCCTCTTCAACAGCTGGTGTTGGCAAAAGTGGACAGCTACATGTAAGAGAATGAAACTGGAATATTGTCTAACTTCATACACAAAAGTAAACTCAAAATGGATCAAAGACCTGAATGTAAGTCATGAAACTATAAAACTCTTAGAAGAGAACATAGGCAAAAATATCTTGAATATAAACATGAGGAACTTTTTCCTGGACACATCTCCTTGAGCAAGGGAAACAAAAGCAAAAATGAACAAGTGGGAGTACATCAAACTAAAAAGCTTTTGTACAGCAAAGGACACTATCAGTAGAACAAAAAGGCACCCGACAGTATGGGAGAATGTATTCGTAAATGATTTATCTGGTAAGGGGTTAACATCCAAAATATATAAAGAACTCACACCCCTCAACACCTAAAAACAAATAACCCAGTTACAAAATGGGCAGAGGACCTGAACAGACACTTCTCCAAAGAAATTCAGATGGCCAATAGGCACATGAAAAGATGCTCCATATCACTAATCATCAGGGAAATGCAAATTAAAACCACAATGAACTATCACCTCACACCAGTTAGGATGGCCAACATCCAAAAGACAAGCAACAACAAATGCTGGCGAGCAAAAACAAATGTGGAGAAAGGGGAACCCTCCTATGCTGCTGGTAGGAATATAAATTGGTACAACCGTTGTGGGAAGCAGTATGGAGTATCCTCAAAAAACTAAAACTAAAAATACCATTTGACCCAGTAATTCCACTCCTAAGAATTTACCCAAAGAAAACAAGATCCCTGATTCTAAAAGACATATGTACCCCCATGTTTATCACTGCACTATTTGCAATAGCCAAGATATAGAAACATCCTAAGTGTCCATCTAAAGATGAACCAATAAAGAAGATGTGTACATATACACAATGGAATATTACTCAGCCACAAAAAGAAAACAAACCCTGCCATTTGCAACAACATGTATTATGCTTAGTGACAGAAGCCAGGCAGAGAAAGACAAATACCAAATGACTTCACTTACCTGTGGAGTATAAAAACAAAGCAAAACATAAGGAATAAAACAGCAGTAGACTCATAGACACCAAAAAGGGACTAGTGGTTACCAAAGGCGAGGGGTTTAGGAGGGGAAGGGGGAAGGGGAAAGGGGATAAAGGGGCACAATAATTCACAATCACAGTACAGGCTGGTCACAGGGATGGTAGTACAGCACAGAGAATACAGTTAATGATTCTGTAACATCTTACTGCATTGATGGACAGTGACCGCAAATGGAAGGGGTATGGACTTGATAATATGGGTGAATTTTGAACCACTGTGTTGTATATTTGAAGGCAAAATAAGATTGTATATCAATGATGCTTCAATAAAATAAGTAAATAAATAAACTATCAAACAAACACTGGGGACACCTGAGGTGGGAGGACGTCAGTCTTCAGTTTCAGGGTAAGGGGAGGTTTTCTCCCCAGCTGCTGACTCCGGAGCAAGATGGGTCCCCAAAGTACAGAGCAGCTTCCTCAATTTGTCTCATCCTGGTCCTTTTAGCCTCCTACCTGGTTATTACCACCAAGGCCACCCTGCCTCCTGCCTCCCTACCTTTTAGGACCATTTGGTGAAGAACCAATTCCCTCTTGCTCCTTCCTGCTACACAAGACTCCCCAACAGCTCCTCCCCATCCGCTGAGTCAAGAAACCAAGTCCCCACTCAGCCTGCAAGACCCTGTTCTGTCAGCCTCATCCTGTGACCCAGCCTCACATCCCGCTATTCTCCACCCTGTGTGTCTCAAAGTTTGGTGCCCAAACGAGCAGCAGCTGGAAACGTGTTGGAAATGAACATTTCAGACCCCACTCCAGATCCACAGACTCAGAAACTCTGCAGTCAGAGCCCAGCCATCTGGTTTTAACCAGCCCTCCAGGCAATCCTGACGCATGCTAGAGCTCGAGAACCATGGCTGCAGCCACATCGCCCTACCCACTGGGCGGCACAGCATAAACACACACTCTTCCCATTCTCTTCCCCATGCTTAGGCTCGGAGCCCCTCCCCTGTCCTCTGTCAAACCAAACCTCTCTCCCCAGGCTCTGCAGTCCACGAAATCAGCATTTCGGTGCAATGGAGCACCATGGTTCATGGAGTCCCCCATTCAGTGAGACAGAGACCCCTGTGAGCTGAGTGCAGGGAAACAGGTGAGTGAGACATAGTCCCTGCCCTGGAGGGGCTCACAGAAGAGTAGGCAAAACGGCAGTCCAGTGGAGCTCAGCCCACCAAGGTCACACTCCAGGAGGTTTTCCCGCAGAGGCAGGTGAATGGAAAAGACAGAGCAAGTTGGTAGAATCAGAACAGCATGGTTGTGACCAGCTGGCAGCTCCCAAACAGAGGCGAGCCCAGCACCGAGTCAGAGGGAGCTGTATCCGCCTGACTCTGCAGCCCCAGCCCCAGGAACCCAGCTGCCAGCATCTCCTGTAAGAGTCTGGGTGCTGGCACTCTCTCCCTGATGAAGCCTGAGTCAGGGTCGTCTGAGCCTTTTTCTCAGTTAGGTCCCCCACTTAGGCTCTGTCCTTGGCCGGCTTCATCCAGTTTTAGCAAGAATCTTGCTGGATTAGTTTACCCAAAGCCCCCCACCCCGCAATATCTGATCAAATTCCTTATGCCCCACCCTCAGTGTCATCACGCTGGCCTGCCTGTAGCAGGACTCCTATCCGGCTGCTTTAGCCAGAATCCCCCTTGTCCCTGATGTTGCCTCTTGGTAATTTTCCACCGACTGACCCCCCACCCAGCTCCTTGGCTATGAATCCCCACTTGTTCTTGTTATATTTGGGGTGGAGCCCACCTTTCCCCTAGTGCAATCCCTCTCCCCCACTGCAGCAGCCCCTCTTGAATAAAGTCTTCCTTACTGTCCTTAACAAGTGTCATGAAAAGCTGTGCCTCAGCAGCATGGTCTGTCCGCTGCCACTGCACCTCTCCAAGACTGAGGACCCTGCTTTTGCTAGGCTTGGTAGCATCCTTCCCTCACACCACACACTTCTGATTCATTCGCAGAGTGTAAGGTCGCCAAACCACAATTTTCCCTCACTGCCTCCAGCCCCACTCCCAGCCTTGGAAAATGTCCCCTCTCCTTAGTACAGAGGAAAATTCCTTAGTCCTGACAAGCCCAGGATCAAAATCCAGCTCTTCCTTTTATTATCTGTCAGCCCTTGTCAGGATCATTCAGACTTCTTGGGCTTCGGCTCTCCATTTGTGAAATAGGGGCGACTGTACCAGTGCCTACATCTCAGAGCTGCTGCGGGGTGCGGAGAAAACATGGACACTGTACCAGCGCTTGTCCAGGAGCACAGGTGCTCAGCATCAGCTAGAGACTCTGAATTCACCAAGAACTTGGCGAGGAGCCTTCCCTTTTGCTAGGGGCTCTGTGTATTACAAGCACCTTCTGCATCATCGTTTCATTGAGCTCCCAGAGTGTTGACTGGACCCAGAACAGAGGACACAACCATTGGAGAGGCATGAAGGCTCTCCATCCAGCCCACCGTGGGGAGAGACCAACAAGAAGCCAAGGGAAGGCCTGTATCACAGAAAGATCATGCTCTTCTCAGGGATTCTTGAGCTCATGCGCAGTCAGGAGAATAGGAAACCTCCCCCTGCCCCTGCAGGCCACCCACCAGGGTTGAGTTCAGCTGCCCCTGCCCCGATGTCTGCCCTTCAGTGCCCCGACTCACCGATAAGCGAGAAGGAGTGTTTCTGGCAGTCCCCAGCCAGGAGGTAACTGCAGACGCCTGCAAAGCTGTACATGCTCCCATCAAAGGTGTTGACGAAGTCATCTCCGAAGAGGCTGCAACGGCCCATCGGCGACCTGCCGGGATTCCCTTCTGTACACAGCATCCCTGGAGTGAGAGGCCACAGGTGAGCACAGCTGGGGCCACCGAGCCAAACCACTCTGGCCTTACAGAAATGAGGCTGCATCTGATAGAAATTGGGCTGTGGGGAAAGACTTTCCCTAAATGAGATTAAAGCTATTGCTTTCAGCCCCCAAATATGACCCAGACTCAGTAACAATGGAGGAGTGGTTTTTCAGAGTATCTATTCGTTTTAATAATATTTATTTATTGATTTAAAATGTGATACATGCTCATTATGGAAAATTTGGGGAATGCAGAAGAAAAATACAAAGTAAACGAAATTCAACGATAACTAGAGTTAACATTTTAGTGTTTCTATTTCTGTTCTATTTTACAAGCATATATACAATTGCGGATGCTTTACAAATTTGTGATCATCCTGTGCAAACCATTTATAACCTGTCTATTTTTCAGTGCACTGTAAAGAATTTCTCGTACCATTGTGTATACTTCCAAAACATGATTCTTAGTGACTGCATTATAATTTGCACCTAAATGTTTATAGTATAAACCCCTGTTGTTAAGTTCTTAGTATTTTTTCCAAATGTTCTGAGTTATAAAGAGATTATAATGAGAATCCTTGAACCTTAATCTACTAGTGTATCTTAAAACATTCAAATTCTGAACAGGTCAGCCTGAGAGCCTGATAAATGGAATTACGAAGTGTGAGCTCCCCCAAGGCCACTGGCAACTGCCAGGTGACTCTCCTACCATCCTCATACTGTGTGTAAGTGTTGGCAGGTGGAGGAACCACAGCAGTAAATCTCTAAGTTTTCTGGGTCCCCTGGCAAAGGACCCACCTATAAGAAGTTGCAGAGGGTATGACAAATGTGCATCTTGTCCCAGACTAACCCGTGAGCAGCAGGTTGGATGCTACAGACCTAAATGGTTTAAGTGGAGACAGGTCAAGTCAGAAAGGGGTTCATCCTGCCATTCTCACCCAGAATCTCAGCAAGGGAAGGAAGGCAGTGTAGTCTAGTGAAAGAGTGCTGGCCAGGGACCCAGGAGAACTGGCCTCTGATCTTTGGTCTGCATGACTTTGGAGCAGTCATTTTTCCTCTCTGACCCTCATTCTCTTCATCTGTACTATGGGAGGTTCCATTACATGACCTCTCTTCTACACCTAATAATCTATCCCAGTCTTGGATTCCTTCTTCCCCATCTTCCAGCCACACCATAACAGACTGTTCCGTGTGGCCCTCGTGCTTAATTCTGCAATCAGAGAAGGCATTTGCGGGCACCTGCTCCTTGAGGAAGACAAGCCAGGCCCAGAGGGTTCTGCAGACACTTCACAAGAGGAATTAACCAGGAAACCAGTGATTTTGGCAGGCTCAACACAAGCCTAACACAGTGCTGGGCACACAGGTGCACCCCAGAGACATCGCTGATTCCTGGAAGAGAGTTACTCATAATGGCCCTGAGTCAGGAGTGAAGAATGGCAGCAATCTGGTACCTACCTGGCAAGGTGAGAGCCAGAGCAAGCAGGGCCCTCGCAAATCTGACGGGAGTCATCTGCAGAGAAGCAGGAGAAACGAACAGGTGACCACTATCCACATAAATGGCTGCTGGCATTTGTTACTGCCCATGTGTGAAGTGGGAAGAATACCTTTAAAAGAAGGAGTAAAGATTGGACTTCACTGGCCCCTGTTTGCCCTTGAACATGGGCAAATGCTGGTCCCCAAAAATGTCCCTGACCAGGGCCAGGTCCAAGCGCAGCAGTCACTATGAGCCAGGACCCCGGGCACCCTTCCCCAAACAGCAGTGCCAGAGCCAGGACGAAGGAGGAAAGCTCTACATGCCTCCAGGCCAGCCTGACTGCTCTCGCTTCCCTGCACTCCTGCACCAGCTGAGAGCCCACGTGCACCTAATTCCTTCCCGCTTCATCCTTCCATGCTTCACAGCACACTGGGGAGGAGAACCACCTTATGCTCTTGCTCCTACCCCGGGCACCCCGGCCTGGAGAATGCTAGGAGCCACGTTTGCTGGGCAGCAGCCCCCTGCACATGAGCAAAGTGTTCATCCCATCTCCTACACTAGCACCATGCCAGCACCCAGGGGATGCTCTGGCCATGTGTGCTGAGCTGATCTGACAGATGGACAGGAGTCCTGCAGCCCTGGGTGGGCAAGGCTCCCACTGTGTGCCCCCTCAAAAGGGACAATTGACCCCAGCTGGCAGAGTGCCCCAGGTCCCTTAGAGTCTCAAGTCCCTTCTTCTCTAGAGAAGATTTTTAATTAAGTGCAGAATCTGTCACCTGAGATTCATGGGGGTGACTCAGAGAGATGCTCCTGTTCTATATCTGTTACATCTGTCTGGGGAAGGATATATATAATCCGTCATATATATCTGCAGAAGGAACACTTCGATGTCAGACATGGCCAAGTCCTGGTCTCGGAGCAGCTGCCCTCTCCTGCACCCCTCCACTACATGGGTGCATCAGGCTGCTCCCAGAGCATAGCCAGAGGTGAGGGAAAAGTCATTTCAGTCTCATCTACTCGAAGATTACAATCAGTGAAGAGCAGGCATGAACAGAAGCAGCCACGGGAGACCCCTCCACCCCCCACCCACCCATTGGCAAGTAGGGTAGGGGCCTTAGGATGGTACCTGGCTTTGCGTCACCACCCAACGAGCTCTTCTAATCCATGAATGGAGAACCCTGCTCCCCAGGTCCTGATCTTCCTCCCACATCTGGGCCAGCCCTCCTCCCAGAAGACCATACCTTGCCCTGCAAGTGGGGGCTGCAGGTCTCCCTAAGGTCCCCAGGAAACTCAGCACAGCAGGACGGCCCTGCCCCCCAAGGCCATGCTCCCCAGCGACTGCTGTGGCTGATGGGGCTGCTGCAGCTCTGGGCTGTCTGGTAAGTGCCCTAGGGGCTGCACACTCCCTGCAGCAGGGGGAGATAAAGGCCACGTTGTGACGTCCACCAGCCCCCACCCCTTTTCCCACAACACGGATTCAGACTCCTCCTGATTACCAAAAGGGAACAATTAGCGGAAATGGTATTAGAAATACCTCCAAGCCGATAAGACTTTAAACCGTTTGGTGGGATGCCTGCTGGCAGCTGCTGTAATGAGCTGCCTTGCCCTCCCCATCCCCCATGCCCTGTCCCTGATCCTCCCCACACGGAGTGCTCCATATCGACAGGAGGACCGGGCATGCTGGTCGTCCCCAGGCAGACAGGTCCAGGCCAGGGAGGCATCCAGACCCAGTCAGCACAGCTTCTGGATCCAGACCCCAGGGTCAGACTCCAGGGAAGTTAGGAAAAACACCTCAACCTGAGCCAATTTAGCTGCTGTGTTTGGAGGAAGGAGAAAACTAATGCTTCCTGTCCATGAGAGGTGGGAATGATCCGGTCTTGGCCTCCAGCGGAAACAGGCAATATGGATTCTGGCAAGGTTTTGTGGACAAGTTAAAGATGAGAGGCCTGCTCACTAGTCCAGGCCTCTGAAAAATGATGGTTGGGTTGATCTCACTCTAACTCTCCTCCCAGAACCTTCTACCCACTTCTGGTGCTCCATCTCCTCCCCTGACCTTACACACATACCACACACACACACACGCACACACACATACAGACACAATACCACACATGCCACACACACACCAATCCTTCCCACACTTCCATTCCCAAAAGCCTAATTCTCAACATCATCTGCAAAACTAATTTCTACTAAGAGAGTAGCTGATAAAATAGGAAGGTGACCATCTCCTGCTGGGACTACAGGCACTGGGACAGGCGGACTGTCGTGTTTAGGTACAGCAGCCCACCTCCTGCTCCTCACGTCGGACCACTTGCCCAAAGACATTGGGAACTCCAACTTCCCCACTCCCCATGCACCTAACCCCCAGCTCACCACTCCTTTTCCCGCCCCAGGAGAGGAAGACGGGCATTCCCAAGAAAGAAAACAGTGGGAAACGCAGAATTAGCATGATATAGTGGAAAGGACTGGTATTAGAAATACCTCCAAGCCGATAAGACTTTAAACCGTTTGGTGGGATGCCTGCTGGCAGCTGCTGTAATGAGCTGCCTTGCCCTCCCCATCCCCCATGCCCTGTCCCTGATCCTCCCCACACGGAGTGCTCCATATCGACAGGAGGACCGGGCATGCTGGTCGTCCCCAGGCAGACAGGTCCAGGCCAGGGAGGCATCCAGACCCAGTCAGCACAGCTTCTGGATCCAGACCCCAGGGTCAGACTCCAGGGAAGTTAGGAAAAACACCTCAACCTGAGCCAATTTAGCTGCTGTGTTTGGAGGAAGGAGAAAACTAATGCTTCCTGTCCATGAGAGGTGGGAATGATCCGGTCTTGGCCTCCAGCGGAAACAGGCAATATGGATTCTGGCAAGGTTTTGTGGACAAGTTAAAGATGAGAGGCCTGCTCACTAGTCCAGGCCTCTGAAAAATGATGGTTGGGTTGATCTCACTCTAACTCTCCTCCCAGAACCTTCTACCCACTTCTGGTGCTCCATCTCCTCCCCTGACCTTACACACATACCACACACACACACACGCACACACACATACAGACACAATACCACACATGCCACACACACACCAATCCTTCCCACACTTCCATTCCCAAAAGCCTAATTCTCAACATCATCTGCAAAACTAATTTCTACTAAGAGAGTAGCTGATAAAATAGGAAGGTGACCATCTCCTGCTGGGACTACAGGCACTGGGACAGGCGGACTGTCGTGTTTAGGTACAGCAGCCCACCTCCTGCTCCTCACGTCGGACCACTTGCCCAAAGACATTGGGAACTCCAACTTCCCCACTCCCCATGCACCTAACCCCCAGCTCACCACTCCTTTTCCCGCCCCAGGAGAGGAAGACGGGCATTCCCAAGAAAGAAAACAGTGGGAAACGCAGAATTAGCATGATATAGTGGAAAGGACACTTAAGGATTTCCATTTCCAGCTTTTTTTTTTTAACTAGATAACCTGAAAATCTGCCCACTCCAAGATGGAGTGAAATATGACAAGTGCTCATCAACTGCACAGCTAAACTGGGAGGAAAATCATGATACCTCCAAGGATCAGAGAGGGAAAGGGACCCAGCTGAGCGGGAGGTAGTGCAGGCCTACAGGCGCAGTGAGTCCGGGCACCCCCCGGCTTGAGGCGCAGCCTGGCCAGAACAGGAGATGACCCCGGAATGAAGCTGGAACAGCACCCCTGCATGGGGCTGACCCTTGAAGGGAAACCTTCCACAGGGTGGACCAGGAAAAAAGTCAGTCGCCCCCAACGTAGGAGACAAGAAGCTTGTCTATATCTGTTTTAGAAGTGGGAAAATTTAAGTTTTTCTCTAGAAATTGTAGCCATGGACATTTCAGGTTCAAATTGACATTACCACATGGTCCAGGAACCCTGAATCTGAGAAATCGACACACTCCACATACACACACCACAGTCATAGTCCAGTATCTGGGGTTCCTGGCAGAAACAAACACAGATCTAACCAGAAAAGGCAAACCTTCTTCCCAGGTCACATCTGATACCCACAGATAAAGCCTCTGAAGGATGAATTCAAAATAACAAATTTTAAAACACTTGCAGAAACAACCCACCATGAGCAAGAATAGGCAGTCTAGTCACAACCAAAAGCAGAATTAGCTCACCCAAGAACTCCAGATAATAAAAGTATCAGAGAAGAAAAACTAAGAGTATTTAAAATTATCATAGACTAAAGAGCAGGAATTGAAAACATAAAAGAATAGGACATAATGAGAAAACAACAGAAAGTCTTTTAGAAATGAAAATATAGAGTATTAAAGTCCTTCAGGCATTTCTGAAAGAAAATTGGCTGGAAGAGAGAGCTGAGGAAATTATTCAAAAAGATAAGTTGGTGACAAAATGAGATAAAAGTTAAGAAACAAAGTTAACAAAAGAGAAGATCCAAAGAGCAGTGCTGAGAAAACACCCCTCAGTGCAGATCTCTAAATACAAAGCCTGCGTTTGAATGCCTCCAGAGCAGGCCAGGAGAATTTAAGTACAAATTAATTTATAGGGGAGAACAAGAAACACCAGCAGGAAGGTGGGAATATGACATGGGGAAGGGAAAGCAGCTAACGGAAGACGTTTATTAAGCCAGCTACCACCGGGCAACTGAGCTTAATCCTGTGAGGAAAGTCCAGGGAAAGGGGTTAGATGAACGCCTCAGAATGACCCCACTCCTGGATGAGGTGGGCAGGGGTGTTTCCACACCTACACTGGTCCTTAATTGTCAAGGTCTGTTTCTGGGGCATTAACTCCTCAACACTTCCAACCCTCAGGCACAGAGGTGCAGACACTGACAGTCTAGAAGAAACACACAAAAGACACACACAAAAGGTTAAGGTCTGAAGGATTGGGGAAGGGAACTGTAGCATCTGCTGCCCGGTTAAGTTATTATTCAGAGTTAAGAGAAAACGGAGACTTTTTTCGGAAAAGTGACAGTGTACTTAACATTAACAGCCCTTTCTGAAAGAACTACGAAAGATGGTGCTTCAAGAAGGAAATTAAACCCAGAAAGAAAATGCCAGAAGAAAAGGTAAACAGAGAATTTGGGAAGTACAGGGGTACACATGAGCAGGCAGCAGTTGCATAAAACAATAGCATTAGTAATGATAAACTGGAGACCTAACAAAGTAGAACAGCACACAGCAATAGCAACGAAGATGGAGAGGCCGTGATAGGAGTGAAAGTGGAGTAAGGTCTTGATTTGCTCAGAAGAAAGAAAGAGGTGATAGGTGTAGACTTTGCTGAAGCTAGAATGGGTTTACTATGTCTTCTAGCATAGTACAATTTTAAGAGAGGCTCCTAAAATACTGGAATTGAATGTACCTTTTCCAAACCAACACAGGGGGAAACAGGAGATGAATAAAACTAAATTGACCCAGGAGAAAATGTAGAAAAAGCAGGACAAATAACATAACATAAAATAGTACTAAAAATCCAAACATTGTTAATCAACAGTCAAAAGAAAGAGATTAACAGTTTGGATTTTTTTAAGAGACACACAGTCGCACAATGTTCAAGAGACAGGCCCAACACAGACACAAAGGCTGGAAGGAAGAAAACAAGAAAGGGCAAATGATGACCAGGAGAAAGCTGGGTATGCCACCCTCAGACAAAGTAGACCTGAAGATAAAGTCAATATTAGAGATAAAGAGGATATGAAGGTCGTAGAAAGCAGAGCACACCAGGAAAGTGTCATTATGTGCCCTTCATAATATAAGCTCCAAATTTTTAAAGAAAAAAAATGATTGAATTAGAAGACAATAGAGAAGAAGTTTTGGGTAAAAGTCAACATCCACTTATGGAAAACGAGCAAAGATGTGTTGCATCTACAAAAAGAAGGGAATGTCCTCGACCTGAGAGACAGAGCAAACTTCACAATTATGGTAAAATATAGGACATTTTCCTTTTAAAAAGAAGACAAAGACACCCAGTAGCATCCCTTTGCTCGACACTGGATCCAATGTCCAGGCCAGTGCAGAAGAAAAGGAAATACAAGGTATATGGACTCAAAAGGGAAGAGCAAAATAGTTATTATTTGAAGATATAACTGTCTACATAGAAAAATTCCAGAGAATCTGCATAAGAAAATTATATAAGAGTTCAGCAGTTTGCTAAAACAAAATTAGCTTTTTAAATCTTAAATGTTCCTATATGATTATAAAATGCAAATCTTTAAAGTGACCATACTAGTGAAACAATAATAAGCTATTTTTATGTTATTTATTTACATATGAATATGTATTATCTGTTTATTTACTTATGTTTTTAATTGTGTTCTGAGGCACTCAAGAATAAATACAATAAAATCTGCACAATACTATTATGCAGAAAATCATAATTTTGTTGCAAGACATAAAAGTAAACCCAGTGGGGAGATTGATA